GTGTCTATTTTACTGCCATACGTCTTTATCCTCTTTTTTTTGCTACTGGGGGCTTTGCTTTGTCTTGGTTCTCCCTTTCTCGGATGAGAAACAGAAGTTTTCTAGTGGTTTCCCTCGCTCTAGCAATAGAGGATCAATAAAGGATTGATGTCGACAATAATTAATTCTTTCTGAAATAGTCATATACGCGACTATCACTCACAGAGACCGCCCGAGGATCGCTTTTTACGCCTATAGGTACATGAATTCTCATTTAAGACAAGATTAGATAGCGTAAAAACTGAAACAATTGAACATTATTTTCAGAGTCCCTTCCCCCTTTATTACCAAAACTAGTTTTGGACATGGGTGGCATACCGAATAAGTAGATGAACTGAGTTGAGGTTCCTGCCAAATTTCCCGATCACATGATTTTTTACGTAAAACTATGCACCAAAAGTATAGGAATGAAATATGTCTAGGTCATTACCATCGAGAGAAATAACTTGCAAGTCAAATGTCTCATTTTTTGAGTTTCTTGTGAGACCAGGTCTACAATTTCTTCCACCCTTTCACGGGACAGGGCTTGATGAAGACGATCAAATAAGTGTTTGAGACCAAGAGAAATAAGGATTAGATCTGCGAATCCCTTCAGCTTAGGAGGGCCCACACCCCCTTTCAACGCTTCTTATAGACCGTAAACTGAGATACCAAGGTATAACAGCTTTGAACCTCTTTCAGAAAAGATCCAAGGCTGAGTGACGGATTACCTTTTCACAGGAACTATGTGGCTGCATCGGTCTTACCTAATTCTTCCCATTTATCAGCTTGGAGTAGCACTTACTACTTGCAGTGCTGTGCTGTGAGGTCTGACTACATAGCCTTGACATGCAGTCTTGTAAGTACACCTGAGGTTCACGTGAGAACACCAAGCATTGCAAAAGTCCCATAAGATGCCCTTTGACTAATTTTCTTGCGTTTGTAGCTTCGAATTATTTCGAACGGGAGACGCTCTTTTCTTTGGAACAACGACATTTTACCCACAGCTATAGGAGTACTAATGTTCGAGAAAACCTCACGTCTTTCCTCCACCTCAATGCAAACTTTACTTATGTAGCCCATTCAATTTTGTTCCGGCATGTTCTTCTTGGTAACATCCGGAATAACTCAGTTACATTCTCGGGCTAGGTAATTGTAACCGGTCCAATAAAATTTTTCATGGCTTTTTATAAGGAACAAGCTACATATTTGCACTTTGCGATACCCTTACCTCTCCTAATAAGACCTTCCTTATCTGAAAACATAGCCATATTCCAATACACTGGGCTATGACTCAACTGTTTTTGCTATCATTAATTACCTTTCCGCTAGCCAAGATGCCTTCATCCTTCCTTTTCATTTTCCGCACAACAAAGTCGCTCAAACTGATCATGGGCAGATAACGTTGATTATATAGAAAAGTTGTTTACAAACTACTTTATGATTAAGTCACGTCAAAAATGGGATATCTGATACGGCGAAACTAGATAGGGTAAAAAGTAGTAAGAACGCTTTGACTTCCGAAATGCCCCAAAAAGTTGGGTTACAAAAGTTAGACCATTAACTCGAAGTGAATCCAACACAGTCTGGTCAAAGTTAGATTCGTCCCTTTTCTTTTATTTTAAAATACTTAAGTAGCTCTTTCTAAATGGTGCTAGGCAAATGTTGCTTACAAAAGGAAACTTAGACATAAAGTTATTATTCTAAGTTAACTAAGTCAAATATAATTCTCCATTTCTCTTTCGCTCTCATTTGAAAACCAATGAGTAGACAATTCTGCGCTTTTCCTATGACTATTCTACCTTATTAAATCTGAGGAGGGGACTAGAAGCATTCAGTAGTAATGTAAAAAAAGTAAGTATGAGGGAGAGATTGCCCAAGGACCCTATTGCAAAAAAACTAATGAAATTGTCTGCATTCGAGGGTAGATTCCCCAAGAGTGGTTGAGGGCAAATGAAGTTGTTAGTCTTTTTCAAGCCTATCACTGCCATTTAGAAGACAAGATATCGTGGGTCGAAAAATAGAATTTTTGTGTTTCCCATCGCTCTGCTAACTTAAACGAAATGCCACAGCTTTTTGCCTGAAACCAGTCCCGCTTTTGTGATGCGCCTCAATATTCCATTTCTGTTCAGAATCGTAGAGACATTTTGAATGTGGCCGACCGCATTTCAATTATTCTACCATTCCAGATGGATCTGGCATCAAAGAACCGTGTAGGATGGATGGAGGGTGTGTGGGTTCAGAGGAGGTTGATTGTGTCGATCCCTAAACGCTCCTTGGGGGTGATGTTTTGCGCCACTCGCCGCTACACCACCCGATAATGAAAGGATCGTTTTCTCGAGAAAATAAGATTAAGCGGGTTTGTTACGTTCACCTCGAGACTATCAATTTCCTCGAATAAATCGATTACTGAACTTCATTCGGTCAACCCTAATCCATTTTCTTTTCTATTCTAATCCATCCTGCCTCATGTCTTTCTTGGACAGTGCGAAGAAGCTGCGTTACTCCCTAATCTTGTTTCCTTCTGGAACCACATGAATTGCACGACATATATGTAGGAGGTCGAATTTCAAGGGATGATGCTTAAATCGCTTCTTACCTCCTTACTGCTGTTTGTGGAGCTTATGAGTACTGTCACGCCAACCACCTCGAATGAATCAAGAAAAAAAAAACAAATCCCTTACTAATTTACGTCACTTTTTCCTCTTAAAACATACCCATATATGATTAAGCACTTCGTTCTTATCATAAAGCACCAAACATATAATATCGATCGAGATCACCAGCTTGGCTCTACTCAATCATTCGTCAGAGACTTGCAATGTCAACTACAAGAAGGTTTCACAAGAATTGATCTTCATTTATCATTCACTCCAAAGATGTACGAAGATTACGTGGGAATGTGGGTACCTCAGAGAATATAGAACCCTCCCTTACCCTTCTCCCTTATATGTAACTCATTACATATAAGGGTGAATGGATAAAAATGAAATAGGCGATGAGCAAAAGTACTATGTAGATGAAAGAAAACGCTTAGAAGATCTCTTACTTACAACCTTCACCAACCTTCCATTTACCTTGAGCTATGGGCTTTGTAGAAGAAAGTCAATGTGAGCAACACAGGGTTATGGGAACCGCTTCATTCAGAAATTCCAATTTAACCGTTTGGGATTGAAGCTAGAGTATAGCAAAATTGTCACTTGCTATTATTATTCGAATTGTTTTTCTTTGTGGAAAAATAGCACTTAATTTGGAAGCGTTTATAGTCGACGGGAGGAGTCATACTAAATTTTGCCTTCTCTTGTATCAGTCATTTTTCCTCAACGACACGGAAAAACAAAACTTCCAAATATGGCTTTGTGCCCTAAATATGTAGACGCCAATATCTAGTTTTACCCTCAAATTTCCCGATCCACATATATTTTCGTAATCAAGTCGAGGTTAGCATTGAGCAAAAGTAACCAAGGCTGAGAGCAAAACAACCAGTGAACTCTACGAACAAATTGAATACTTTTATTTTTTATTTTCTTATTTTTTATTGAATATTTTTACAAATTGAATGACTTAAAAAACTGCAAGCTGCCGTTCTCAAACTTACATGCCGTAGCCGTGAATGGAATATCGTCACTAAACTGATGACATTACCACTTAATCCGAGAATAACAATCAGTGGTAGAATATAGACATATTCATCTGGTTGAACTTCTTCGACTTCGGTAACGTTCATCTGAAATTATCTTGACTGAAAGACCATACAAACCAGCATCGGAATGGCTTCCAACGACGCGACGGCTCATGCATAGAACTCCAAGCAGGGAAGTACTAGGGATCGTGCCACGGGTTCGTGACCAGTGCCATTTCCCAATTCTAAAGCGCTACCAAAGGGAGTTCTATGCATGACAGGCATAGAGACACAAGAATAAGGACGGATATGAAACGGAATGAATTAAACGGCTGACGCAAAGGCGATAATGGAAGTCTCAAGCAATGATGTCAAAGTATAAGTGACTGTGAAAATGAAAGAGGAGATGCATGAGAATGATTTCGAAAAACAGGCATAGGCTTGGCCTTTCTGGTCAACCCACAGCATTGGTATATGTGATGGAGCTTCTCACACAAAAGGCATAAAAACCTACACAAAGAAATGTAATGTTCAGGATATAGCGGATGAAAAAGCAGACATATTTGATGCGAAATTTGATAGAGTCGATATTAACCACCATCACGGACGTCATCACGGATGAAAGCTTCATTTTCAAAAGGTTGGATTTCCTTGCTTGGACGAATCTCGCTATAAAAATTGATGTGAGAATTCTTGGAAGGCGGTGCTTTCTAGGACATAAACCTTGCTAAAGCCCTTATCATCACTTGTGGGAGACTTGAAGTTCCTTCTACCTCGTTGTTTATCTATAAACAGAATGTTGCAAAAACTCATAAAAGACATAATCAGAAAACTGGTCTCATTTCAGAATACGCTGCAGGGCTCGATTCCACTTGCTATCAATCAGCTGTGGGAAAACGAGAATGTACGGTGAGCTAATAATCAAGTGGAACTAGGCGAGAATATTTTTTCCTGTTTGACTTAATATCCAATTAAATTTGAGGAATTACAAGAAAGGGGAACAACATAACGAAATCGATCACATTTGAGAAATAATGAACATAATTTAAGTGAATAAATTCTTCAATAATCTTAAAGACGATAGCATTCAGCTGCTGAATTATGGCTGTTGTCCAGTATCTTAGAGCAAACAATAAATGCGAAGTGGTCATCAAAGGAGTCGCCGGAAATTCCTAGCTCTCCAATCTCAAATTTGCAATTTTTCAAAAGTCGTAGAGGTTTGGGTAGTGTAAAATGCTTCTATTAACTCGTGGTCCACCGAAGGTAACTCGGCTGTCACTTCGCCATAAGTTTGAGAGTCCGTTTGATTAATCGGAAACCGTTAGTTGACCGGACTACGAATTAGTGACAGTATTGTATAATACACTGTAATCCTGGAAGTCCGGAAAGAAGACGCTACGCAATAGGACAAGGAAGCCCATAATTAGGCTGTCAGTACTTTCCTTAACAGGATCATGCCCACTGATATTGCGTAATTTCAGGCTTCTCTAGCCAAAGGGTAGTCTTGTGATTGAGCCACCATTTACGCGGATGGCTCAAGTACACCTGACCTAAGCTTAAGCTCATTTTGAAAGTATGAATAAACAAAAGAAAACTTCAAAGATCGATGGTAATTACGGATTTCGCCACAATGACGAAGTGTCTTCCAGATTTCAATGGGATGCCACCTGGAAAGTGTTATCATCTTACTATAAGTTATACTTACGCGACAAACTCGAGCATATGCATGACTATGTAGATACATGTCGAAAATTAAGGGTAAAAGATCAACCACGCATTTGAATTTCATTTGAAATCGTAGTACCGTATGAGTGCATTGTGGTCTATACAGTGGCTTTCAGTGCCCAGTCAAGGTACAGCTCTGAGCTTATATCCTACCAGAAGAATCAGATACCATTTGAATGTTTTTGAAGTACTGAAAAGCTAAGTTGGTCTGAACAGATATAGCTCCGAGATCAGATCCACGGGCTGGTTTATTACCATCTCGCCCGATGATGCGAGTGGCAAGTATGAATTGCCAGTAATTCTGAGGCCTTGACAAATGCATCCTATAAATATTTCCTTAACAAAGAGCTTTACATCTAAAAAGCGCACCACTGATACTATTTATACATAGTAAGCACTTTCCTAATTCGTCACACATTTTCCCCCCTAACATGAATTTATGGGCGTTGTTGGGTTGTTGTTTGATTTCCATAATTGGCATCAAATTGCAGTGAGAAAGTGAATGATAGCATGCACTCTAAAGGTTAGTTCTTAAAAAAATATCGTGAGGGATACGAAGGAGAACAGTTGAAAAATGTCCCTGAAATCAACTCGGTAAGGCAAGCCGCAGAGGGCTATAGGGGCAACTGGCCCACTATCTCGCACGCATGGACACGGCACGGGTTCAACCTGCATCGAGGGGATCCAAGAATCTCAACTGAGAGGGGCATCCCTCAGATAGGATTCTTTAACGCCAAAAGCTTTATTTTCCCCACATTCATGACCCACACTGCCAACTGACATTGGTACCGACGTTGTGGGCATAACTCACAAAAAGCATGTACTAGTGAGGAAACTGCTGAGAGATTGGGAATGAAGAAAATGTTCAGTTTGTAGCCGTGAACTTATCGAAATCGCTCACCTACATCACACGAATGTATCTTCGTGTCTTTGTAGGGATTACAGGAGAGCTCTTTTAGCCACTCGGATGCTGCAGAGAGATTACGACAATCATAGAAAGAGAAAATGTAATGAACGCATACAATTTCGAGTGGATCCCCCAGAAAATGAAAACTGAAAAATGCCGTCTTGAATTACAAAAACGCTGAAGATCAGACAACAGTTGCTGCTGAAATTGCAGGAGGCACGATAGGAAATGCCCAACAACCCAACACGTTATTCCTGCCTTCCAAATGCCCTCTACTGGTTCGGTCTTTGCTCAGTTGTTAAAGTGGCAATAATTCGGTGTCTGAGGCAGCTGTGCAAAACATATTACGAACTTCTTTCAGAAAAGCCAGGATGCAGCTGGCATGTTTGTATTTTACTGGTTGTTTGATGAGGTAGTGTATATAGTAGCAAGTGACGCATTATCACAAGCGGGTTTAAATCCCGGACCGATATCTGCCTAGGCTAACCAAGGCTTCCATCCCTACAGGGTCGGTTAGTAGGTACCAGACTTGTCTGTGAGCATGAAAGCTTCCGCTTGTACATCGGCTGGCTATCGCAAGTTATAGGCATAGACCACATACGGGTTCAATACGCCACTACGATTCTGAATGAGAGTCGAATTCGGGGAGCGTCCCTCAGGCGGAATCGATTAACGTCAAAAAGCTGAAGGATTCGGTTTTTATAATAGCTCATGAAGCGGTGAGATATCGAGGCGAAAACTTTAGCGGAGTTCAGCCTTTAACACTGTAAACATAATACATAACAAAGCAGATTTCGATTAGAAATATCTCAATCGAAAATTTTCGAAAATTTAAGTGAAAGTTTTTCTTTGTGAAGCCAGTCTATCCTCCTAGCCAATACGTAGCCTTTCTTTTGTTGCCGTTTGCCGAGGCAAAGTACAGAAAAGGTGAAAGAATGACAGAAGGGAGAGAAGCACTGAGGAGTGAAGGGGATGGAAGAATCTCAAGACCTTTCGGAGAAGATGTGACTGAGAGCTCGTCTTCTTTAGGATCTTATTCGACTCGATACATCCCTATTCGATTACAGTGAGATTTGTGAAAATTCTGCTGTTAATAGTAAGATTGGTCCATGTTTGAGAATGAAAAAGAGTAACCAACTCGATGGTGTGAAGTGAGATCTAATCCTGAAAAACCTTCCATAACAAGCTGAATTCTCAAAAACGTACCGCATAACAACAGAAAGCGAACTCAAGCGAAGAAGGTTGAAAAATGGAAATAGCGTTATGCATTTGTTTACGCTCAAGACTTATTTCAAGCAGGGAACAGAAGAAGACAAACGCCATCGAATAACTCTCACCTTGTGAGTGAGGCACCTTTGTGCTGAACCCACTGCCACCTTTACATTTCATTATACCCAAGCTTCTTTTGAATTCCAGTTCTACTGGAAGTAGTATGGCGGATGTGGAGCAATGGCAAGTGGCGCACTTCAGACATTCTTGGTCACTGGTTCAAATCTCGTATGGATATCCTCCTAGGTCGAGCCTCCCATCCCTGCGAGGTCGGTTGAGTGGTACTGGACTCGTCTAGGAGGATGAAGTGCTAACTGCTACATTGGCTGGGCACCGCAAGTCATTGTATAGGCCACATACGCATTCGATGCGTCACTACGATTCTGAATGGAGGTCGAACGCGTGGGCGCATCCCTCAGACAGGATTGATTAACGTTCTGAAACTTTATCCTTTAAACATGGAAGGACTAGCTTGTGCACTTCTCCAGCCCTATTACTGAATAACCTGGAAACATCAAAGACTTAAGATTTCCACCAAAAAGTAACGTTAAGAGATATGAGGCAAATATGGATAACCGGCCACAAAGGCGGAGATACGGTATGTGCTGTGCGAATTCTATGAACGATGCTGAAAACACCAGTTAGTCCTCCGAATCAGACTACAGGATGTAATCTGTAACCGAACTGGAAGAGCCTAGGCCCGTAAGCGCTTTGGTGGAGNCTTGAATTACAAAAACGCTAAAATCAGACAACAGTTGCTGCTGAAATTGCAGGAGGCACGATAGGAGAACCCCAAAGACCCAACACGTTATTCCTCGCCTTCCAAATACCCTTTGTTAGTCCGGTCTTTGCTCAGTTGTTAAAGTGGCAATAATTCGGT